TCTTGCGTTATCTTACAAGTTCGGGGCTCGTGGAATCCAATGTCGTGGTGGTTCAAATTCATTGGTCCTCAAAATATTGAACAACTGGTCGGTCACCTTGGTTTGGCACCGAGTAGGCAATTTGAACCACCACGGTTGCCTACCCACAGCGCCTCAAACATGCCGAATTGAACGATCTCATCGTGTTTTCTCGCAAGTTCTTGGCCTCTGGAATCCGATGCCGTGGTGGTTCAAATTCATTGGTGCTCAAATTATTGAACAACTGGTCGGTCACCTTGGTTTGGCACCGAGTAGGCAATTTGAACCACCACGGTTGCCTACCCGCATCGCCTCAAACATGCTTGATCGAACGATTTTCTTGCGTTTTCTCGCAAGTTCCCAGCTTCTGGAATCCGATGCCGTGGTGGTTCAAATTCATTGGTGCTCAAATTATTGAACAACTGGTCGGTCACCTTCGTTTGAGACCCAGCAGGCAATTTAAACCCACCACGGTTGCCTACCCACAGCGCCTCAAACTTGCCGAATTGAACGATCTCATCGCGTTTTCTCGCAAGTTCGCGGCCTCTGGAATCCGATGCCGTGGTGGTTCAAATTCATTGGTGCTCAAATTATTAAAAACTGGTCGGTCACCTTCGTTTGAGACCCAGCAGGCAATTTGAACCACCACGGTTGCCTACCCACAGCGCCTCAAACTTGCCAAATTGAACGATCTCATCGCGTTTTCTCGCAAGTTCGCGGCCTCTGGAATCCGATGCCGTGGTGGTTCAAATTCATTGGTGCTCAAATTATTGAACAACTGGTCGGTCACCTTCGTTTGAGACCCAGCAGGCAATTTGAACCACCACGGTTGCCTACCCACAGCGCCTCAAACTTGCCGAATTTAACGATCTCATCGCGTTTTCTCGCAAGTTCGCGGCCTCTGGAATCCGATGCCGTGGTGGTTCAAATTCATTGGTGCTCAAATTATTGAACAACTGGTCGGTCACCTTCGTTTGAGACCCAGCAGGCAATTTGAACCACCACGGTTGCCTACCCACAGCGCCTCAAACATGCCGAATTGAACGATCTCATCGCGTTTTCTCGCAAGTTCGCGGCCTCTGGAATCCGATGCCGTGGTGGTTCAAATTCATTGGTGCTCAAATTATTGAACAACTGGTCGGTCACCTTCGTTTGAGACCCAGCAGGCAATTTGAACCACCAGGGTTTGCCTACCCACAGCGCCTCAAACATGCCGAATTGAACGATCTCATCGTGTTTTCTCGCAAGTTCGCGGCCTCTGGAATCCGATGGCCGTGGTGGTTCAAATTCATTGGTGCTCAAATTATTGAACAACTAGTCGGTCACCTTCGTTTGAGACCCAGCAGGCAATTTGAACCACCAGGGTTGCCTACCCGCATCGCCTCAGACATGTCAGATCGAACAATTTTCTTGCGTTATCTTACAAGTTCGGGGCTCGTGGAATCCGACGCCGTGGTGGTTCAAATTCATTGGTGCTCAAATTATTGAACAACTGGTCGGTCACTTTTGCATCGCCTCAACGCAGTGTCACAAAAACATTGCTTTTTAGCAGATGATAATTTCACACATGAAACATACTTAAAACTACTATTCACAAATGAAGGTGTCAGCGTGTTTTTACTCTCGAGTCCAGAAACCAGGCGCGTATCCTAACAATATATTTGGCGAGCGATAGCGAGCCCATGCCGTGTTTGGGGGTACCAAAAAGTGACTGGTCGTGCGTCTGTCTGTCAGTCTGTCTGTAACTCACTCACGTTTCTCAGCAACTACCGCACAAATAGTTTCAAAAATTTTGCACCGGAAGGCTCCTAAATCTCCCCCCGGGGGGGTTTATCTTATATTCACGATTACTATTGTTTGAAATATTCAAAACATCTTTTTGAATTAGGTTCTTAGCGTGGTTAGGTTGGCAGTGGTTGGCAGCTCGTAGCAATTTTTCATACTTGCGGCCGCGACTCTCAAATACGGGACCTGGCAAAACATTGGCAAATAAAACAAACTAAAGAGCAGAAGGGCTTAGAAGTGAGTACGGTCATGGTTTTTCGATATTTTAGAATGATTGAAACCCCTCCGGAGAGTCAACTCAGTGAAATACGGGAAAAAGAAAGTGACAATTATTACGCGTTTCGTCCGTCCGTCCACCCTCTCCCCTCCCCCACTACAGGGGAAATGTTTTAGTCAGTGGAGTGTGTTTGATAATTGCAAGAATGATTTGGTCTTTTTAACCTTTGTGAGTGTATTTCCATTTAATTCTCAGACACTATATTTTTTAGTTGTTTGCTTTGCTCAATAACAGTTAGAAAATATATTAATACATTCTATGAGTACAAACCAGATGCTAATCTTGCCAAAATAAATAGTCTTTGCTGACTCTTGGCACTGATTCTGGGAAAAGGCTTCATTGCAATGCTGTGAGTTTTCTATTGTACTAATCTTAAAAAAAACCATATGATGAGTGAGGGGTAGCGCATTCAAGGTTTTACATTGACATCAGATTCAATGAGACGATTCACTGAATTGGTCATATGATTTTATGAGACGATTCTTTTAACTTAATCATACATTGTCTGCGACAACTGGTAATTTGTGTTTGGGCATGGTTTGAGTTTGCTTTTTTTTTTAATTTACTCAGAATGTTAGGTAAATACTTTTGCTAAACTGTTTCAAAGATTAAAAAAAACACACCATGACTATCATTATCAATAAGATAAACTTGCATTTAGCAATAAGTGGCCTCGACATTGGATTCTATGACACGATTCATTGGATCTGACAGGAGGTCTTCTCCGTAAAGTAGTTGAAATCAGCCTGCCTGTAAAAATGTCTCTTTTTAATTAATGCAGATAAATCAATATAGTTAAATCCACTAGTTTAAACTAAAAGGGAGAAAGGCTATTTAGGTATTACTAAAAACACTGCGTATTTATAAGTTCAGTAAAAAGGAGATATCGAATGGTATTGAAGTATTTGTGAATCGTATTAAGCAATTCAATGCGGCTGTTAAAAAGTTTCTCGACTGAGTAACAGGGTCAGGGTTCGTGGCATGACACTATGAACAGGAAACGCTCTTAAGAAACCCAACAACTGAAACCCATACTTTCAACTAGAATTACATGATTTGCGACCAAAATTTCCTCGGTGTTTCATTGCTTTCTGCAGTATTTGGTGTGCTGATCAAAAAATGACTTCCAATGTCATCCCAGACCTTTACTTTTCCAAAATTTTCCAATTTTGGACCAAAATTTTTACATCGAGTTTTACATAGTTTCCTGCAGTTTTTGGTGTGCTGATCACGAAAATGACTTCCAATTTCATCTCAGACCTTTACTTTTCCAAATATTTACCAATTTCGGACCAAATTTTTACATCAAGCTTTACATAGTTTCCTGCAGTTTTTGGTGTGCTGATCACGAAAATGACTTCCAATTTCATCTCAGACCTTTATTTTCCAAATATTTACCCAAATTTTGGACCAAAAATTTTTTCATCGAGTTTTACATAGTTTCCTGCAGTTTTTGGTGCGCTGATCACGAAAATGACTTCCAATTTCATCTCAGACCTTTTCTTTTCCAAAAATTTTCCAATTTCGGACCAAAATTTTTTTCATTGAGTTTTACATAGTTTCCTGCAGTTTTTGGGGTGCTGATCACGAAAATGACTTCCAATTTCATCCCAGACCTTTACTTTCCCCAAAATTTACCCCAATTTTTGACCAAACTTTAAAATTGAGTTTCACATTTTACCCCGTATTTGGGCCCTTTCTTTGCATATATTCTTCACCATCTTCTACAAGAATACAGACGCATCGCTCGCCTACTACGCGCCCAAACAAAACGGCGCGTACCCCTAGTATATTAGGAGCTGGCGACCGGGGCGGGTTGGTTCGTGTGGCTGGCTGGCTGGCTGGCAATGAGGCGCAACCTGCGCGGAATTCGACAATGGCACCCCCTCCTCGCGTGCGACGGCCTGCGCGCAGCATTGACAATCCCTCCCCACTACAGCGCACAGGCACCGGGTGCTTCAAGCTTCTCTGCAAACTCCACAGTGTGCTCAGCACACTCTGTTCAACGTGTACTCGCAAGTACACTCTTACGAGAGTGTACTAAGATGAGTACATTCCAACGAGAGTGTGCTCAGATCCTGGAAATATATGCAGTTGTGTACACGCTCGTAGGAGTGTGCTTGTATGCACGCGCTGAAAAAGGGTACTCGTCAGAACACGCTAAAGACAGTGTACAGAATACACTGTTGAGTTTGCATATATGAAAGAAACTGCTTGCGTTTCAAAATGCTCGTCTGCATGCACGAAATTCACGCTGCCAATCCAAGTGTGGAAGAGTCTCACACTATTTAGTGCGAACCACGATGTCCCCAGTGGCGTCAAGCCCGGCGTAGTCGGTGTGCTCCCGGCCTCAGAGGAGAACGCGCCCAGCATGCCTCTGCTCGAGGTCCCCGTCGACGCGGCCGCCTCCCCGCCCGTCGACTACATTGAGTTCCCACTGGTGCGCGGCGACCACACTGTTAAAAAAATGAGTTGTAATTTTCATAACATCGGTTGGCATTTTTTTTCACAAACCCATGTTATGAAAATTCATATCACCAATGATTGTAATTTGTTTTACAATTGTGTAATGAAAATTACGATTCATGGTATCAAAATTCACATTGTTGCATTGTAATTTTCAATACAGGTTGGTTTGTAATTTTATGGTAAAGTCTTGGTTATTTTGCAATCGTGATCCTAAATTTACAATTGGCTCCAGTGCCAGTTTTCCAATTGTCCGTTCTAAAAATTCCCAATCATGTTCTTACTATCCACAACTTTTCCAGTGTTAATTTTCATTTCTTTAAATATTAATAGTACTAATTTGGTTCCTTAATATAGGAATCCATTCCATGGATAAAGGCAAATAAGAAGGATGTACAGCGTTTGACAGTACAGAATTTAATAGAGAAGCACAAGCACAAGCACAAGCGTTAGTTTAGACTGAAGGGATCGACCAAGGTGATGAGTATGCACGGATTTCTTCCGAAAGTTTGTACACCTTCCCAGCCAAATGGCCTTTTCTTCTTGCCACCACTCGCTTATCCCCAGAAGGAGGATTGATTAGGAAGAAAAATCTGTAACATAAAGTAATGTTAAAAATTTTAAGTAAATTCCTAGAACAAGTTGGTAAATATAAATTCAAAACTATTACCTTTGGATAAATTCTAAAGTATTTTGGACTTCTTCTGTGTACTTGAACCCAAATATAAAAAAAGAGATAAACATTACTAGAATGCCCTCTAGTTGATCTCTCACTTCGATGACATGGTTCTTTAGAACTACTACAAAGCATTTGGCCATGGGATCAAATACTGAGAATCCTGCAAAGGGCAAATAAACAAGTTAATAACAGTGCAATGAACATAACTTCAAAGAGAGGGGTTAAGGAGGTTTGAGATCTTACCTTGGACCAATAGGATTGGGTTGCCATTTGAACACGCAGCATGCTCCAGAAGTTCAGAGTCAGAGTCACAGTCCTTAAAAAGAAAAACCTTTATCAGAAACAATCAAATCAAACTCAACGAGCAGAATTAGAAAAGAGCATAATTACCTTTGCAACCTGGAAAAAGAAATCATGCTTCTCACGCATATAAGCGATTATCATGAAAAAAACACTGAAAGTGTTAGGAATCTGGCTTTCCATTGTCTCCACAGCACCTTGGGCTTCTGAAAACACTTTCAGCAGCTCAGCTGTGGCTGTGCTACGAGGACTTTTACGGCAGTAACTTTTGAAGAAGCCTGTCAGATCAGGGGTCATCTTGTCCAGCTGCATCGCCCATAAGTTCTTCACATCTTTGTTGAACAAAATACTGGCATGATGAATAAGTAGGTTTGCAGACTTCAGGCAGGGCCATCTCACAAATACATCAGTAAGCTTTGGTAATGTCTTGCAGCCAACAATTTCAGACCTTTGGGAAGAGTATGTCTTTTGAAATAACGAAACAGCATAGGCTGATGACAAGTCCTTAGATTGGGCTAGGTGCTCTCTCTTCTGTTCTTGCGTTTCTAAAGTCTCATCAGATGGTAGCGGGGGATTAAAGTTTTCACAACCATAAGAGCAGTCATCAATTGAACGTGCCTTAGCCTGAGGTTCCATTTCATCGGGGTTATCAACTTCTTCTTGAAGAGCTGCCACTTTTCTTCGTTGACCACGTCTTGATGTGTTCTCAGACCCCTTACTGTAGTTAACAGCATTGTAGATGTGACAGATAAAGTCAGCAAGGCCATCACTACAAAAGTGATCATTCACCCGTTTCTCAAAAACAGGTTTAAATTTACCATTTTGAGAGGAAAACACTGCAGTGGCATACCTCTCACACACTTCCTTTCGGAAATCCTTGACTTTCTTCAGGATGTGCGAGGCGACTTCTTTCTGTGCTGCCATCAGAGCTGCCTTTCTGCGTCGGACCAGATCACATGGAGGAGGCTGTCTTCGCATTGCCTCCAAAACCGGTTCAAAAATCTCGTTGAACGGAGTGATTGGTATTGAAGGATGTGATGATGGCTTAGTAACACAGGGTGATGGCGGCACGACTAGACTCACTTCTAAAATATCAGCACAGGGCCCATCACCGCTTGAGTCTGAGTCAGAGTTAGAGTTACAACTTGAGTCACTGTTACTGCGACGTGACAATCCCTCAACAGATTCTGTACAACAAACAGAAGTCATAATCAAAGAGAGTGAAGTGTAGGAGCAGATCTAACAAGATACAATATAAAACTGCTATTACCTGGAGGTGACCAATCCTTATGTGATGGCAGCATGACAACCTCAAGATGTGCATTCGATTTTGAGTAAAAACTGCTCAGTTCAAGGAGTAAGTCATCTTCATCTATTTCACTTCCCGCTGCAGCACCCGAACTGTCCACACACACCTGAAATGAAATGACCCTTGCTTTAATTGAACTTATACAAAACTTTTGCAAACTTCAGTAACAACCAACCTTGTATTGCATGTCTTGAGACAACTTAAGCTTCTTAACAGCCTTATCATTAAGCTGCTGAGTAGTGGATGCCGCCAGAAGGACTTTGATCTTGCGTTCCTCATTCGCCACCATTATAAGAGGCATTGTAAACACAGAAGTCACAAACTGTTCGATAACAACAAAGCATACCATTAAAGAACATTGCAATTTGGAAACACCGCTCACTAATAGAGTCCAGAACTTAAATTTACCTCTCTGATGAAACAGTGGAGAGAATTGATGTTCCCAATCAACAAGGTAGCCACCAGCGACTCTTTGAAGATAAAGCGGAAGGAGTCTCAGCATCCAAGCATCACCGAGCCTCAGTGAGTTGTCAAAAAGTTCACCCTGAAAACAAAACATCATAGTAATTGAAATGACAAGCATATGGACATTAATTGTATCTGAGATAACCTACAATTAAAAGAGCCCTAACACACAATACAGGACTATGGGCAAGGGTCATGAACCAGGCAAAGACTGAAGTCTCCACAAATTTGGACAGGTTTGCAATGATAAGATAGTTATGGAGCAAATAGAAAGGAAGTAAAACAGCCAAACACCCGCAAAACCCCGCACCCGCCAAACGACCGCATTAACAGAAACAGAATATCAGAGCTCTCCAAGAGGATATAATAAGACAGCCTAAAACACAACACGCTGACCAAAGTGGGGTTATGGCGGCGACAGGTAAGAAGTCAAGAATGAAAGTTTCTGCGCTTGAAGGAGCGTTTCACAAGATTGCAAAGAAGCGACAAGGCCCTATTAATGATTTGCTCAAACTAAGAGCGAAGATTTACGCCAGAACAGAAACAGAGACGAAAAGTTGTGCTTCAAACGGTGTTTGCTTACCTGGGTCACACACTTTCCAGCAATCCCAGACGAATGATGCTCCAGAGAAATGTGGCCTAGAACCTAACCTTCGGAAACCGCGGGGTCTGTTCTTGAACGCCTGCATGTTCCGTTCGAGATTGGAGCGTTCCACTTTTGAACAGAAAACAAAGTTGACCCTGGAGACCGGCCAAATAACGGTCAAACCAGGTCAAACAGCTGGCCGCTGCCGGCCGGCCTGGCTGCCTGACTGCCAGCTCTGCCTGCGCGGCGCAGCCAGCCGATGCCGATCAGCTGAGGAGTCGAGCAGTACGAGTCGAGTACGGGAGAAGGCCAGCCCAGCCAGAGCCCAGCCGAACAACACGCCACACGCAGCCTAACCGAGCCGAGCCGATATCATTTCCAGCACAGCACAGCACCAGTAAAGGTAATGTTTAATTTTTTTAATAGGTGTTCTGCTGTGGGACCTTCACTCCCAGTGTCTGAGGACTAAATCTAGATAATTAGTCGATTTATGCCTCCTTTTCATTTTTTTCAGCCATGACAACAGAATATTCACCTGATTTATTCTTGGAAGAAATTTGTATTGTAGTGCTTTTTCCTTCTGATGGTGAACTGCACTTCATAGGCGATTTCGACTCTGCTGGTAGAATGTATAATGGAGGTGACATTGTTTATGTTGAGCGTACTGATGATGCAGAAGAAAAAGAACTTTCAGTGGTGCTCGGATGGGGAGAAACAAGAGAAGAGGCTGTAAAGAAGAGCAATAGTCCAGGCAAACATTACATTCGTGGTGGACAAAATTGCTAACAAGCTGCAATTTTGGGATTCGATAGATTTCATATTGTAGAATAACATCCCAAAAAATCCCAAAACTTTTATCGACCACATTGGCCGCAATCAGCGTTCAATGTTCAAAATTTACACTTTTCGAACGGCGGCTATAATTTTTTACCTATTTGTCCGATTTCACTGCGGTTTCGCTCGTTCAATGCAGCATTAAACCCGCTTTTGAACTAATATAAAGACGTGTTTCGTCGTCAAACTAAAACTATCCACCTAGAAGGCACAAACTGTCAAAAACGGGTTTTGGGTCAAGCTGAAATTTTTGGTTTTTGTATTTTGTGGCAAAATGAGGCAGCGATTCTTAAAGAAACCCTTTTACAACTCTTGTAGATCGTTCTATTGCGCACAAGAAAGGCCATTACGCATTTAGGGCTACGACGTACGGTTTAAGTCCTACGGGGACGGAAGGGGCGCGCCACGGCGCTCTGCGGGGGGCCCCGGGGCGCCTTGCTGCGCGCCGCTCCACGTAGCTCGCCGCGACCGCCCAAAGTGACACATTTGGCGTCGCAGTGAAGAAAACCGAAGCCGTTAGAACAGAATGGTGAACGGGATATTGTTCTACAGCGCCGTCGCTTTCATTGTCTCTTCCGGAAAAGTTATGCCAAGCTCCGTTCAGCGGGATATGCGCCTCAAAGTCGGTGCGATGGCGTGTTTTGTCACTTTGGGCGAATTCGTCACTTTTTCGGCTGACTTCGCAGCAAACCTTGCAAGCCAACTGTTCGAGCTAAAGTTACGCTCGAAGTTTTTTTAGAAAGGTGGGATGACAGAGAAACTACCACGAGGGAAAACGAGCATTTGCTGACTTTTATTCCGTGCACGACTTTCGGCAAAAGCGCTAGTTTTAGCAATTCAATCATGTGGTTGACTCATTTCTTCCATCTTTGGGGTACTTTCCTCGACAAACTAAGGTAGTTGTTACTAATTTCAAGAGTTTTTTTTTAAAATATGAGGGACGTAAAACCCACAGTCCCGGTTAAATTTTTCTTCTGGGACTACGTTGTTATATCAGCAATGCGAGGTGCGATGTGTGAGTTTTGACAATTATTTTAGGGAAATGGCAATTTTCTTCAACTTCAAAGAAGCATTCGAGACAAACTAAGACGACTGTCGTAATTCACAATACATATTTGGAAAGAGAAACTGAAGAGAAATGGGCTCCTGTTGACCAATTAGGTTAAATTTCGTCTGTTTCCTTGCACCTCTTCGCGAAAAATATCAAATTTCTTAGTAAATAGCTAAAACTAGCACTTTTGCCGAAGTCGTGCACGGAATAAAAGTTAGCAAATGCTCGTTTACCCTCGTGGTAGTATTCTCTGTCATCCCACCTTTCTAAAAATACTTCGAGCGTAACTTTAGCTCGAACAGTTGACTTGCAAGTTCGCAGCGAAGTCAGCCGAAAAAGTGACGAATTCGCCCAAAGTGACACAAACACGCCATCGCACCGACTTTGAGGCGCATATCCCGCTAAACGGAGCTTGGCATAACTTTTCCGGAAGAGACAATGAAAGCGCCCGGCGCTGTAGAACAATATCCCGTTCACCATTCTGTTCTAACTGGCTTCGGTTTTCTTCACTGCGACGCCAAATGTGTCACTTTGGGCGGTCGCGGCGGCTACGTGGAGCGGCGCGCAGCAAGGCCCCCGGGGCCGCCCGGCGCCTTTCGCCCCCTTCCGCCCCCGTAGGACTTAAACCGTACGTCGTAGCCCTAAATGCGTAATGGCCTTTCTTGTGCGCAATAGAACGATCTACACGAGTTGAAAAAGGGGTACTTTAAGAATCGCTGCCTCATTTCGCCACAAAATACGAAAAACCAAAATTGCAGCTCGACCCAAATCCCGTTTTTGACAGTTTGTCCCTTTCTAGTGTGGATATTTTTAGTCTGACGACGAAACACGTTTTTATATTAGTTCAAGAGCGTTCAATGCTGCATTGAACGAGCAAAACCCGCAGTGAAATCGGACAAATAGGAAAAAAGTTATAGCCGCCGTTCGAAAAGTGAAAATTTTTGAACATTGAACGCTGATTGCGGCCAATGTGGTCAAATAAAATTTTTGGGATTTTTGGTATGTTATTCTACAATATGAACTCTATCGAATCCCAAAATTGCAGCTTGTTAGCAATTTTGTCCGGAAAATCCCGTTATTTTGTAATGTTTGCCTGGACTACAAGGAATACATCCAGCGTGTTATGAAGTGGCATGGGCAAGACCCAGGCTCTTATGTCATCATGGGTTTTGACGTTTCAGAAAGTCAAGTGTTTGCTTAGTGATGTTTTGCTTTCTGCTTCATAAAGTAAATATCTTTATCAAATGTTATGGCATTGGATGGACGGTCATTATGTCAATATGGGATTTGATGTTTTAGAAAGTAAAGATTTTGTTTAGCGAGCTTTTACTTTTTACTTCAGATGGTAAATAATTTTATCAGATTTTGTTTAGTGACTTACTTCTTACTTTAGATTGTTAATATTTTTATCAGATTATTTCCCTGTTTCCTGTTGTCTTTGTTAACTGTATTACATTGAGTCAAATAAATGCTAAGTGATTGAAAACATCAATGTGACCTGCGTTCGATTGTTACCTATTCCATGAGATAAGATTTTGGGCAAACTGCTGTCAAAGCGAAGCAATATAAACAAATCTAAACAATTTAGCTTTGACGATTTGTTTTTCAAACTGAGCGGCTCTCAAGGTGATCCTACAATGAACTCATCAAACTCATCGCTCATCAACTGGTGTTTTCATTGGTATGGACTTGTAGGCCATGTGGTTCGTCTCTGTAATAAAAATGGGGTATAGTCTTGTAGAGAACAGTATTCCTTATGCTCTAGGACTTTTTTCAGTCTTCTCATCACCACACATATTATTATATAACGAAAATAAAATTGTTTGATGTAACTTATTCAAATCAACAATTTTATTTTGGTTATAATATATATATAATATGGTGATGAACAGACTTAAATTAGTCTTAAAGCATAAGGAATAATGCTGTCTACAAGAATATGTCACAATTTGATTGCAAAGAGGAACCACATGGCCTGCAAGTCCATACCAATGAAAACACCAGGTGATAAGCAATGAGTGAGTTCATTATAGGAGCACTTTCAGCAACATACTTAACGTGCTAGAAAATTGAGCTCATCACTCACATTTTCACTTGTCAGAAACAGATAATTTTTTATTGGTAACACTTCAAAATAAGTTTGCGAAAAAGATTGGTTTCTGGTGATCTGACAGAGTTGACAAAGCTCTTGGCATTCGTTGATGAGATTGATCTAAAAGTGCACAGGTAACAAATATTTTTTATGATGGCAAGTGCATCAATGTTTTGGGATTTGACGGTAGGATACAGCAAACAAGTTCAGGACTAAGTTTATTCACACGTGAACATGTCTGCATGCCATATCAACAGTTAAAGTCAATTACAATACTTAAGATAATTTAACAGTAAGTCAAGTCAAGTAACACAAATCATAAAAAGTAAAAAGCAAACCATAAATATTTTTGTACTAAAAGCTAAGTAAGACACAAAGTATAAAATATTTGAACACTAGATAACAACACTAAAAGTGACACAGTAATTCAGGTCAGGTGAGACTAATCAATACTTAACTACAAGAGCATGGTGAAGTTTAACAAAGTTGCCATCATGAAGTTTGTAAGTGTGGTGAGCATAGTAGCTCAACAAATTACTTTGTTTAACACACTTGTAACCCACTTTTTGGCCTAGCTTATAAGCCCTTATGTGGGGTACAAAGACAACTTCTAGGACTTCAACAACAAAAAATACAGCATCATCACAGTGAAGAATTATCAGAATTCTGCCCATTTCTTCATTACACTGATATGAATCTTGTCCTAAAACAACAATGTGACCTTTTCTATAGTCTGTTCCTTTAACAGACACTGAAGTGCACTCCTCTACTTCGGGAGGTAAATCACACTCACTCATGGCAAGCTGGAGCTCTTCAGAATACATACTTGGACTAAAATCACTAGATGAATTGGCAACGATGGAACATCTAGCCCTAGCTCCAGATCTTAGGTAGCACTGGTACAGTTCATGCCTAAATGTCAATGACTTTAACACATTTATGAAATTTTTGGCAGATCGCACAGCTCTTTTAAAGAAGCAATGTTTACTCTCAAAGCGAAGGCTCCATATATTCTTTAACGGCCCAAACAATAATATCATTAGACAGGCATGGGCCAGGTAGTGGTGTTTGGGGCGAAGGGGAACATCAGGAAAACATTCTTTCCTGAGATCAAGGTACAGAAGTATAAGCTCTTCCAAGTAGCCTAAACATTTCTTATTAATTGCTGGTGCCAAAATAATATCACAAATCTCTGAAAGCAGAAGGAAACATTTCCACACTTTGTCATTTGGATCCTTGATATGGTCTTTGATAATCAAAGGGAACAATCGAATTGTATTAAATATCTGCATGGCTCCCCCTTTCACACGGGCATATTCTTCTAAAAAATCAATTGGCTCGTCCCGTTTGTCTTTGGTTGAAAAGGGGAAACGCTTCCTCAGTTCAGTTAACTTCTCATAATCAAACCACTCCTCAGATACAAAATAATGAATAAATAGTCCCATATCCCACGCCCCGACCCCCTCTGCCAGGTCATGAGCGCAACAGGATGGGAGACCAGGATCACAAACATGGAAATAGGGCAATTCATTAAAGACACTGTCAAACTTCACACCCTTTTTTGTCTCCAGTCTCTGCCCTCTCAAGCAGCGTTGGTGGGTTTCCTTTGTCCTCAGAGGGAAAGCAACATAATGACCACCAGCACTGTGAAATGTTGGTCTGTCAACATAACAAAAGCGACAAAAATATCTTGTCCTGGAGAAAGACTCATAAAATCCACCAAGAGAGTGACTGCCCAAATTGTCACCTGCAATAAATGCTAAGCCAGCCTTGATCTGACCGTATCCAGGCACAAAGATTCCATTGGTTTCCAAGTCTTTCAACTCTTCTACAATTTTTCCAAACACTTTCTTGTGATCCATATCTTTCTCCTTAAGCAAGGCTATTAAAAAAATATTATCAACATGAGTTCTAAGATGGCTAGGTAGATTGCCTATACTTAAATATATACCAGTGAATTTGTGCTTCTTTTTTGATGGACCAATAGGGCAGCAACATTCGAACCCATCTTGATATATAATCAAGCGCAGTGCTGTAGGGTTCTCTTGGAAAAACTTATTGTTTTTAAAATTAGCGCCATCAGTAAAATCCTTCAGGATGTCAGGATCTGTATTGAGAGGGGGCTCTAACTGGATGTTAAGTGCAGATTTGTCTTCAAATAAACCTAATAAAGTTTGAGAGATGGGAATATGGAAGTATTTCTGATCCCCCTTTGCATCTGCTATTTTAGGTTCCACAAATCTATTCATAGTTTTATAGAACTTAGTCCTTAAATGAGCACTACGCAAGCACTTGTACTGATTTTTCAACGGACCAAAAATACTATTAAGAACTGAATCAATAACATTGCTGTCCAACTCTAGTTGTTGCAAATGTTCCTTTACTTCCATCTCAATTTGGAGGTGATTTTCTTCAGAAATGGTCATTATTTCATTTGCTACATAGTTGACAGTCCTGGCAGGAACAAGCCTCTCAAATTCCAACTTCATAAACATTTGAGCCAAGCTCAGCACTTGAAAACTACGTTGGTTCTTTTCTGGGACAGTTTCATGTTGAGCATTATCAAAATCACTTTCTAGTGGCACCGACTGTACATAATCGTCAAAGTCTGGCAAGGTCTGGGTCTCACTATTGGAGGGGTGTGATTCTACTTCAACTGTCACAGGCTTGTGGAATTTTTGAAGATGACTTAAAAAAGAGTTTACGTTGGAATAGCAGGAATTACAACCTCGATGTGGGCAAGGCACATTTTTGAGACCATTTGCTATGTGACTACAAATATGTTTTGTCAAATCTTTCTTGCAGTTCACCTGCTGGCGACAATGGGACACAGTACACACATACTTTCCTGATGAATCTGTAGCATACACAGTGCTTGTAGACTTCTTCTTTACAGAAACTTTGTGGTGTCGAATGAGATGCAAGCGCAAGGAAGCTTCTGCTGGGAAGACTTCTTTGCAATCATCTATGCCACAAGGAAAGAACTTGGTAATGTGACGATGATGAGGCAGATGGTTTACGTAGCCCATAAAAGTAGAATATGGAGAAGAGCAGTAGCGGCACCTGAGTTGTATTGAGCCTGTTGAAAAGCAAACAAAGTTAAAGAAAAAGTTAGACAATCCACCAAACAGCAAGAACATTAGAATAAAATACTACACTTTACATACCCATTGTGACATGTGAGGAGACAATCAAGTTGATTTAATGAAGATGCCTCCAACTGTGCTTGAACAAATAGCCATCCAGTTGCAGTTGCGCCAGTTGAGTGGATGACGTTGTACCTGTGGTTGAACGGATAGAAACAAATTAACTAAATAAACAAAGAGGAAGGTGGCAAGAATAGTGAAATGGAAGACTGAATATTACATACCAATTGAGAAATGTGTAGGCTGCAGATGATGATGTTGATTTGATGAAGCACGCAGTGGGGCTGATGTAAACAGCTCCTGCAGTCGGATAAATGAATCTGAAAGAAGGAACGCGCCAATTAATGGACAAGCCCTGGCCCACATAAAGAATTACATAAGAAAATGACAAGACAACTTCAATGAGAACTGATGATTAACGCTTACCATTCCCACAACCATTTTCCCCCAACATAACAAGGGCGACATAACCAAATCTTGAGCCTAGGCAGGTATGCATTATCGTTCCTATTTCATTTCATTCGCAGTCAATGACACAGCCCAGCACACTTGTAGGTCATTCTCGAGACAGACATTATGTCTTCAACAATCTAAATTTGACACAGTTTCGAATTGCCACTTGGAAGGCATTTCGTGAATTACGTCCGCATGTGAGAACGTGCGATCAAATGGAGAGAGAGAGAAAAAAAAAACCATCTTTCGGAGGGGCGAAGGGAAGGGGAAGGGGGAAGGGGTTAGAGGCGGCTTTGTGATTGGGTGCGGCTGGCGACGACCGTCCAGCGGGAAGAAGGTAGACATTCAAAACGCGCGCCGAATCGCCCTCCGTTGGATTGTTATTTTTAACATCCGATCGCAAAGTTCAGAACATTGGTTTGGGAAAATGCGATCGTATACTAAATTTACTACCACACATTCGTAATTTTAAGAACATGTATTGAAAATTAAGAAATAATATCATTTTTCACAACATTGTTATGAAAATTACAATGTTATGAAAATTCACAACCATGTTCGCAAAATTGCAATTAATTCTGTTATGAAATTTACGAACTTTTTTAACAGTGCAGGCCGCCGTCGAGGTGCCCAGTGGCGAGACCCCCTTCTCTCCCCTCCCCCAGATCCCGGAGGACCTTCTCATGGACTTTGAACTGTCCTCGAGCCTCCCCCTTGCCCCTCCCCCAACAGCCGTAGAGTCTTCAAGTTCGGGATCCGGACAATTCGTCCCTGAAAATTCGTCCCAAGTACTTTTGGGTCCGCAAACGATTCGCCCCCGGCAAAATTGGTCCCCCTTTCAAATTGGTCCCCAAACGTGTCCCCGATTTTAGAATGGTCCCAGTCGGGACGGTCCCCATGCCGGCGACCAAGACATGAAAACGAATGATGTGACATACGGTACCTCATGATTTATGTTAATGTGACACACGTTAACTGTCACATTCGTTTCAACGTGACATGCCCGAATTGTGACATTCAAACGAACGTGACGCCCCATAATCCGACAATCATGGCGTGTCACATTCAAAGGAACATTACAAATTGAGCATGTCTACAACGAATGTCACAGTACATGGGTGTCACATTCGTTGGATGTGATACGACATGTGTCCATGGGTACTATGTGTCTCATTCGTTTTAATGTGACAGTTCTCCAGCTGATTGAGTGCCACACTCGGCGTAATAAGACAAAGCGGTGCCGTGTGACACAAACTAACATGAACGTGAACACGAACGAGACGTCAAATTCGTTGGCTACCAGTGTAGGAGGGTTGTAGATCGCTACGAAACTTTTTACGAGGAAGACGACATCCTGTCCTACCTGCGCGCTATCGGCCACAACTTGACGGGAACAAAAATCTTTGGCTGCACCTGTTCTTTCCGTCAGTTTTGAAATAAACAAACGAAAATTCAGAAAAACATTATTTGGGGGCAAATTGTCTTGGGACCAGTTATACGGGGGGACGAACAGTGTGGGGTACCTATTGTCCCGGGGACGAAATGGGGGGTACGAATAGTCCGAGGACCAATTCTCGGGGACGAATTGTCCTAGATCCTTCAAGTTCAGACTTGTATGACTCCACTAGTGAGTCCTCTACCACTTCTGACTTACTAGACCAGATGTGTAATGAGGCCTATAATCAAATGATGGCTAATGAGACTGTGGAGGAATTGGGGTTGAACAACACCCCCACTGTCATGAAAATACATGTCAGTCTGAAAAATAATTCTAGCCCCTCAGAATTTCCCCTACAGTGCATCCCAAGGGACTTTGCACTCACTAAGAATGGTTCGAAAACTATTCGAGTTGGTTTAGATGTAGCCACTGATTTTTCCCCTTTTGTGATGCTCTTCGGTGAAACCAACAAACAGGGTAATCGAATTTACCATAGAATGAGTCCAGCCGAACTGAACATCATGATGTCCAGAGAAGTCCAGATGCATGTTTTAAATGCACTGGAAAAAACAACTGAGCTAGAACCTCTTTCCTTTGGGGATATCACGCTTTCAATTAACAAAGATAAAACATTTATTACAGTGTGTGTTGAGAAAAAAGAATCTCCCATTAAAATTTCCCTTGCTCTCTCTACATGGAAGATGATTTACAACCTGAAAGAAAATATAGAGTACCATCTCATGAATTTGACGGAAATGTCAATCCTTGCCAGGTCTAACTTTGACCATTTTATTTCCCACTGCAAGGAATACTGTATGAGGATTGGATACAAGACACCCCAATCAGTAGTCCAGATGACTCGAGACCATTCAGATAATCTGATGGCTGGAGCAATGAGAAGTTACCTGTCTCCTTTCCCTATCTCTGTGAGATTAGATCTGATGTCTTATCATAAAGATTTCATCAAAGAAGCCATTTATCAGGCAATGAGAGAGGCTTAAAAAAGAGAAAAATCCCCCCAAAAAAATTAAAAAAGACAAAAAAAAAGGAACACAATAGTTGAAAATACAAAAAAAGGAATACAATACTAAACCCCCCCCCAAAAAAATGAAAGGAGTCTGATTTAAAAGCGCACGGAGTAGCAGGCAGGCCGTTTTCATAGAGCAATAATGACTGAAGGAAAACAATATGTTTTTTTCTCTGAGCTCTATTTAAAAATTAGAGAGAAGCCTTCTCTCACTAAAAAAAAATATCCTTACAAATCTTACAGTGTAGTGTTCAAAACTCCACTTTTTTTCAATAGTTCTTTACTCCCTTTAACAAAAAGATACTGTGGACTCTAAATACCAATTGTGCTTTTATTTCATAAGTGAAAACAGAAGGAGTCATAAGACAATCTTAGTGTACAAACATTTCAGTCACCTCTGCCGTTGGATTTTTGGGCGGAGAAAGTGAGTGTCTCTATCTCTCAAAATTAAACCAAAAATTTTAAAAATCTCATCAAAATGACTATCAGAGAAGCTTCTCCACTACTTAATCTCTATTGAAAATGAAAGGCGCATTCAGCAAGTCAATACAGACTGAGCAGCTGCCCTGTACACCTTTTCATATCACTAGTGTCTAGTCAGCCATCAATAGGTTATGTTGTCCATATTTCATTGCTCAGAAATTAATTATTTCAAGAGTGTCACTCCACTAAAACATAACAAGAGGCTCATTTCCTTCATATTCTTGCTGAGAGTCTATCACTCTAACTCAAAATAAGTTGCAAAAATAAAGAATAGTTCACTGAAGTGAAAGTAACAAAATGTCAACTTTCCTTCAAAAATTCTACACTCCTTTAATGAACAGATACTCTGGCCACTAAATACCAAATGTGATTAAGCTCAAATAGATGAAAACAGAAGGAGACAAGAGTCAATCTTAGAGTACAAACAATTTAGTGTCTTGTTCCGTTGGAATAAGAGCCGATAAAGTTGGTGACTCTTCCACTCTAAATGAAACAAAATTTTTTTAAAATCTCATAAAAATTACTATCAGAGAAGCTTCTCCACTACATAAACTCTATTTAAAATCAATGGGGCACTCAGCAAGTTAATACAGACTGAGCAGCTGCTTGTGGCAAGATAGCATTACCAAAAACGACTCACACACTATAAGGTTAAACTGCCCAACTCAACATAGGTCAGAAATAAATTATTTCAAGAGTGTCACTCCTCTAAAACAAAACGAGAGGTTCATCCACATCATAGTTATGATAAACAAGAAGGAAAGACATCAAAGAATTGATATCACATGGGAGGGACTCGTTCTTTACAAAGCTAGATTGATGTGTCAGTCGCTGATCGTTACATGACTTGTCCTCAGACGATTTGTAATTTTGCATTTTAACGAACGCTTCCGGTTGGTTCTCCTCTCAGGCAGGGAACATCGATGCATCACGATATCTCGAGATATCGATTCTCGTGCATAATCGAATTTACACTAGAGTCCGTGCCAAAAACCTGCTTTTTCCATGACCAAAACCCTCAGAAGGACACATTTATTAAAAAAAGAAGTCAAATGAAACTTATTATTTCGTCTCTCATCTCCAACATAAGACATGCAACACCTGCCAAGAAATTTTCATTAGGAAGAAACCGCTAGCAGTTCTGAGACATATATCACGATTAGCGTGAAACGATGTTTCTTTATGACCAAATTTCTCAAAATTATCCATTGTCACTTGGAAAATACCCTCCTAGTTTTTTGTTGGCCAAAGATCTCTGGTCGTTGTCGTTGTTGTTTGCGTTCCAGTGGCGTTCTGTATCAAAAGATGCAAACACTTGAAAAGAGGTTAGTTTCACATAATGCACTAAAAACGTCTCTCTTTCATGTTCATTTTCTCAGTATTTCTCATTGTAAGCAAAAAAAAGTTCATTTACGATCTGGCGACTGACACTCCATCTTTCATTTGATACCACTCTCATTTTCCCACATGCTGTCAGATCTGAGATGAAAGATGTCCCCCCAAAACTCATTTTTGAACACAATACTCGTTCCCTTCACATAGAGTTTTGTATGTTAGTGAGTGGTGTGTAAAGAACGAGTAAAAATTTATCACTCATACCCAAAAGAAGTTTTGAATCATATAAAAAGTGAACTACGTGTTGATAATGATGCTTTGAGTTTCATTCACAAAAATAAAAAAAAACTCTATCAGACCAGCTTGGAAGGTTTATTCATTTCAATCAGATAACAAATAAAAAACAACATTAGATGACTCTTTTCATTTAAATACCTACAGTGGTACTAACTAGAAAAAAACTAACATAAAATGAACCTTTAAGGCTTTTATCATTAAAAACCATCTAAAAAATATTTTAACGCTTTATCATTAAAAATAAACCATCTTAGAAATTGAAGGCTTCATCATTAAAAACATCTTAAAAAATCATCTTGAGAAAGTCAAACCATGGAGTCACAGATATAGGGAGTCGCTAGGTTGCGCTCCTTGTCACTAGGTATCAAGAAATCTCTCCACCGCCATCGTCAAGAGTACAGGAACGCGCTGGTTTCTTTTTTTCTTTTTAAAATTACATGCCAACGATGGAAATAAATTTAGTACGCCCAGTACCTGATAAAATTGCAGATAAAAGACGACCATAGAAATAAAAAGTTTCTATATTTTATTCCGAGTCAAAAGGCTTCTCTGAAACAATTATTTCAATCTTACGTTGAGTAATGTGTCAAAACATGTTTGTGTCGTGTTGGTATGAGACACTGTTGATGTTTTGCCTGCCGGAGTTCTTAACCTCTCGGATTGTGTGTTTTGTGGCCTTCTGTTGCTGTTCACCTTCTTACTCTAACTCAAATAGTGCTATGGCGGTAGCCTGTGAATTTTGTGGTAAACAGTATCGGACGGTGGAATGGCTGAAGAATCATGTGGATAAGTTCCATCCTAAGCAAGATGTTCATAACGATCCAATTGCCGATTTATCTGAACCAGGTAAACACACTGCTAGTGTCTGGCTACTTCCAATTTTTGGGAAAATATTTCAACGTTTGTAACTATTTTTCTAGGTTCAAGTGATCCATCTGTGGCACATATTCTTGAAGAAGACGCAAGTGATGTTGACGAGGAAGCAGAATTGTTAGCAGAGGAGGCTGCTGCCAGATGCTTGGACTGGGGTGACTGGTCGGGGACAGATGATGATGAAGAAATAGAGAGCTACTGCCAGTTGGTTGTGGATCCTTCTCATGAAGATGAGGAAGAAGAAAGGCGAAGAGCGGCAAGTGCTGGTGCTTCACCTTCCAAATCCAAATCTTCACAAAAAGGACAGTCTGGTGTGCCACTTTTGAAATGTCGTGATTGTGAATGTCACTCACAAGGTTTCTCAACTGTTGATGGTTACATCAAGCACCGAGTAGGACATGGAATGCAAGGTAACATACATTATCTGTTCATCGAATTATTTTGACTTTGATCTCATGCTGAAATAACGCTTACTGTTTGTGTATTTCCAGCCGCAATACTGCGACTGTCGGAGCTGCAAGATATTTTGAAGCAATGCCCTGACTTAGCACGGGAGGTATTCATTAAAATGCAGGCAACCAAACAAACCAAGGGCTTTGCTGGGAGCACAACTTTAATTGCAGCGCAGCTAGAGAAGCAATGTGACAGTGCCACAATGGAAATGTGCTTCAAAAGTATATGTGATAGGCTTCTCGATTTTTTGAAGATAAAAAGTGACTTTCTTTTCCCCTCGGCATTTGCAGGTGCCTTCCTTACCAATTTGTCTGTTGTCGTTGTGGATCGTCCTTTGCGAGCATCCATTCAGTGTTCACTATCAATCCTTGCTGAAATGAGTAATGATGTTTCAAATGTGTTTGTCACCATGTTTATAAGAAATTTTGCAGAGAAATTACTTGCCTATATGTTACGTGTTTTGAGCAAAGGCATAGGTAGCAGCTTTGTGCCCCTGGAGCAACAGTATGCTGTCACTAACCAGTCAACGTGTTCCACTGAATTCAAACAGAACATGCACTTCATTGGGGGCAGCAATGTTAAAAGCATTCTCAGAAGTGCGCTTAGAATTAAGCACCGAAATGAGGAGTGGCAAAGGCTCATTGCCACAATTAAGGAACAATTTGTTGTAAGCGATTTTGCCTGTGCTCCAGACTCTGAACTAATGGCATGGACTGAAAGTGTTGATAGAGGACGGTTGACTAAGATTTCAAAGAAAGCTTTGGTTTTTTTTGTTCATTTGGGTATTGAGGTGAAGCCCCTTGAGAGAAGAGACGGATCTCTCCTTAATGAGGAAGTTATAGAAAAAATCATGAGTTCTCCCGGTTCTCCTAGTTTGTTACTAAGGTGGGATGAGCTGAAGGGCAGTTTAACGGAAAGAGAGTCATATAAGTTAATGCTTTCTCTAACCCATCAATTTTGTATCAGCTGGCGCAATGGTATTATTGGCAGGAGAGAAGATGAAAGAGCCGCATCCAAAGGTGGTCAGAAATTTGGAACTGGAGGAGTTTCATTTAGAGCTAACCTAGGTCGCAAATAAATTGTTTCAGAGAGATGATTAATTAGTTCAATATGTTCTGTGTATTAGTGATAGGTAAATGAGGTCTTCTTTTCTCATGACATAATTAATAAAAATCTTGACTGAGTAAGAATGTACTTTATTAAAAATCATTGTCATTGAATGTGATGAAATAAACATCATAGTTAACAAACCGACACCCCATTATAAAGACTTTGAAATCATACTTTTGTAGTGTAGGGCACTAATAGTGATGAGGAACGGATAAGTGACGAGAGAGAGTAGGGATTCACTGGTTTATTAGGGAGGTGCGCACAGACCGAGACCAGGCTACAGACTGTTGACCGGCGCTGAGGCGCGATCCAATTTATAGTCTGGGCAACAGTGACACCTTGCTTGGTGGGTGAGTTCAGAAAGAGGAGTATTGTGGGGCCTTGGCCAAGAGTGAGGGAAGCAAGCCGAGGGGGGAAGAAGACAAAAAAAAAATACTGACTGACACTTGTTTAGCCCCTTTTTTAAAAACCCGTCAAATCTCTACACCACTCCCCCTTTAAAAGAATTTTCTCAAATTGCTTCCTTTCCTTCAAAGTTATCACTTCTCCTCCTTTTAAAGTTATCACTTCTCCTCCTTTTAAAGTTATTACTCCACTCCTTCGTTTAAAGAAAATTATAAGTTGCCCAAACTTTGACATTCAATTAAATTTTTCTGCGTCGTCTTGAGTGTTGAGCTGAAAACAATATCACGTCTAGGCCCATCTGACTCAAGGTAAGGGTGTCCAGTCCTTCCTTGACACGCCATCAACGATCAAACAAAATTCATGATCCTCTTCCTCTTAAAGAGTGGTTCAACAGCGACTCCCATGGCACGTCCAAAAACTAGTTAGGGACGCCATCCTGGGGTGCAACCATTTAGCCTGATCATTTTAAAATAAAGTAATTTTACAGAAATGGATTATTCTTGCTGTTTTGGTCTTGTTGACTCTAGAAGACAGTTCTAGAAGAGTTCTCGTAGATTCTCCTGTAACACACATAGCACTGCGCACAGAATTTTGTAACCTAATCCCCTCTAACTAACAGTTGGGGATGATGCCTTGGTGTTGCAAATCCTGACTAGCTAGCTAAATCCTATCTAAAACACCAGTTTTGATCTAAGAAGACTAATTAACACCAATGTTTTACCACACTTAACTTGGTAATTGTCCCAAGGCCTCGATGACTTGTTGTTGCACAGTCCTGGAGATCCTGTGGCATCCACTACTGCATGAAGTCCTGGTTCGTTCTCCATCCAGTTGTCCAGAATCAGATGAAGCTGTTGGATGAAACCCCTTTGGGACAATGTGCTCTCTTCATCCCTTGCCCTTTTATGGATCCTTTTGTAGGCTGTTGGGGACTGCCTCGAAGATATATGAAGTATTCCTTTCTCTTGTACTGAGATACCATAGTCTTGGCTGTGTTGTCAAGCAATACATACTGCTCTTCGTTCATAAATCCAGCGTCTTTCTGCGTTTTAGCGAACATCTTGACCACACTATGTAGAGATCGCTCTGCGATGATGACAGGATTTTCTTGTTGTATAGCTTCTAGTTGAGCCTGCCACAATGTACTGAGCACCATTGATTGAAAGGTAAACGCCCACTTTTGCATATCTTGAGTGTACAATTCCAGGAAATTAATCCCATGATAGTTTGTCCACTGGGAAACTGGTTCTTGCACTACCAGGTATCCTTTCTCTTCCAAATTCTTCAGTAACGTTGACTTGCCAACTCCTATGTTTCCTTCAATGTAAACAATCACCGGCTGTTTGACAGCTGTCTGCTTGAATTTGTTGTACCATGGCTGCCGACTTAACCAGGCAAGCGCCATGTCTGCGTCTCTTTGCTGTCAAGTGCCGACTGACCGTGAGGCTTGACCGGGCAACGGCCCGCGTGTTGTGCATTCCAGCACGCATTGCCTCGGTGCGTTCATATCGAGTGCGATTGATCCGCATGAATGGCTATTGTTTTCACTGGGTTGGCTACCCTGTTCGCACTGTTGCTTCGTCGTGCGCGTCACTTCGTGCCGATGGTGGGGTCACGTCGCTGCGCTGATTGGCTCCCGAGTTCGTCGACGCTCGTGTCGGTGGTGGGGGCAGAGCGGCTCTTCAGGACTAGCGCTCCGCTCCGTCCGATGTATTGCAATGGTCTAGTGGTTAGCGTGTGTGGCCCAGAAGGATAACAGCCAGTATCGGCGGTTCGAATCCCCCTGATGCAGATCTTCACACCGATATCTCAGAAAGGCAATTAGTAGAGTATCATGTTGGATCCCCTCTTGGGTTCCACTTGGCCCTACTGAATGGCCTGTGCTGGGAGTGCGGTTGCTGGTGTTGCTTCAGGTATTCGCTCCGTGTTGGCGGTGGTGGTGATGGCCATGGTGCTGGTGCTGTTGTGCTGGTGTCCTCCATGGCGCCCTCCACGGTGTTCACCGCGAGGTCCAGAAAAAGGGCAGTTCCATCTTCATCTCCGGACCATTTCCCTCCACATTAGTGTAGGGATTGGTTGGGGTCGTGCATGAGTGCGCCGCCTTGAGCCGTCCAGTTGGTACATGGTACTCTGGAACGCCTGAGGTGCTGCTTGGTGACGATGCCGATGATGTGGCCTTCACTTCAGATACCGTGTGGTGTTCTCCATCTGGCTCACCCCTGTCCCAGACCATAGTAGTATTTTGCCTCTGAATCGTATAGTTCTTTACTGTGTCTGACATTCCAACGAGCCTTTGCTCCTTGATACTTGACTCCGGCTTTCCTGCCATTGCATTGCGGCCTGTCTGGCTCGGTGGTGGTTGCAGACGTCAGTCGTACCAACTGTGTCTGTTTAACGGTCAAACTTCTTTTGCTTCGTTCTCTGTGACTTCTTTGTTTTTGAATGTTGACTCTCTTATTGTCTTTTCCTGTCCGTTGTTGAAGCTTTCTTCTCATATAGTTCTGGCCTTTGATTTTGCCTTGTAATTTTAGCGCGCGTTCTTTTTAAACACTTCCTGTAACTTTCCAATGTTGGTCAATCTGCTTGTTCTCTTCTTGTCGCTACGTGTAGCCATACTGGTATTCTCTGTTGTTTATCCTTCTCCACTGCCGGTTTTCTTTGTAAGAAATCTGGTTAACATGGTGACTTCAAACTGGTTTCCTGATAGAGTGAATGTCCCTCAGTGTGTACGGGGCACTGTTGTTGGTGTGGGGCCGCCTGGGACCATACTCGGTCACGTATGTATTTTCCTGTGTCCACACCTCCTTTCCCGGCAGTTCTGCACCGTATTATGTTTGTAGGTCCATCCATCCTGCGCTGCTTGGGCGCCAGCCAACACCGTCTCCAAAGGGGGGTTTAGTACCCGACGAGTGGGGTTGCTACAGTTTTCCTGATGGCTCTACTCAAATTAGAATCCACTTGACTCCTGAGGACGCGGCTACCCGTCCTCCCTCTTTCTTCCGTTGCCTGTGAGTACCGCCTTTCTCGTATAATTATTATTATTATTATTATTATTAATTTTTTTTTTTAACGTTTTGCACTCTACTTTTTAGATTTTACGGTGTCAACTCAGACTGTCGGGATCCAGCCGCGCTACGTCCCGTAAATTGTAGCCCCAACTGCGTCGCGCGTGGGGGAATTGTTGAGCCATACTTTTCTCATCCTGGCTTTTCTTTCGAGGATCCGTTTGCGGCGTCTCCTATTATCCCTTCATTTCCTTCTGCTCCTGATGTCAACCCCAATCCTCATCCCGGGGACTTCATTAACGATGTCTTGTAACATTCTCTTTTCTGAGTTAAATATTTTCCGGAGTTAAGTTGGTCATCCATCATTTGTTCACTCCTTCATTTTTAACACTGTATCAGTCATTTGTTGACTTTGTCGCCATTGACACTCATCCTCGTCGCTCAACCCGTATTTATCGGTATTTTTCTTCACCATGTCCTCCACTGTACGTGAGGATAAGTGTGTTTCCGGGCAGATTATACATGTTAAGTTACCAGGGCCTCGAGACTTTGTCTCTGTGAGTATTTTTATCCAGGGAAGGACATCATTAATTATTCATTGCGACCCTTAACCTTATCTTTCGGTACAGGCTCACGTTGCATGCGGCTCTTGGGCCATCCATAAACCCGGGGCTTTGGTGGGCATTAACAAGTGGGAGCTTGTTGGTTCTCCCTTTGTAGTGCATGAAATTGGCGAATTTGCCTTTAACCTTCCCCTTCGTTGCCACTTCTGGGGGCGTAATCCATCATGCCCTGGCCCTTTCCTGCTGAAATCTTCTGTGTGCAATTCTTGTCCAGTCCGTAATGCACGCTTCCGTGGTCAATTTTCTAGTGTTTATTCTCCTTTGTAATGTTTTTCTTTCTTATTCCTTTTTCCCTTTTATACGTTCCTTATTAAATTTTCATTCTTTCTGTTGTTAAGTTGTCATTCCGTCTGGGTTGGTAATGCTGATTCTGTGCCTTCTATTAATGTTGTTGTTCTTCTGCTTTTGGCTTATCACTCCAATCAAAACAAAAGTTCCTTCAGATGACATTTCAGGTTAATACTTTGAGACTTTGTGAAACATGTTCTACTTCTCTTCCCCCTTCAAACGAAAAGACCAAAGGTAAGCAAATTCTAAGTTCATTCTGAGTTTAAAGAATTGTTTTCCAGTCGTACTTCCATATTCTGAGGCACTACTAGCCATTCTATTTACCCACTGGTTTTTACTGGTATTTACCCACTGGTATTTACCCACCCATCAAGTCGATCGGTGGCAAAGGTGGTGGCACCGGGACCAATGGGAACAATGCGACTTTCCGCTTGGCGTCCTTGAGGGTAAGTACTTGCAAATTCAATTCTTTGGCCACTCGGCGAAGTTGTTTCTTGGTTGCGTTTGAGCACTCAATTCTTTTGTGATTGCGTGAGCCACATTTCCAACAACGGGCTTTCTCCTTCTGTTTCTTGCTCACTAATATTTTCTTTTGTGCAGGTTTCGACTGAGAAGTTTCGTGGACTACTGGAATACCTTCTGACTCCATTTCAACATCTGCAATCTCCGTTTCTTCTTGTACTGAGAGTTGCTGCATTTGTGGAACCAACTGGCTATGTTCTTCAAGCAGTTCGTCTTCATCAAAGTCAGAGAGGACAATATCGACATCATCGTTGTTCGTACCAGCAGAACCAAACAATTCTTCCTCCAGTAAGTCAAACTG